CAGGCCGTCCACAGCAGCACGCGCGCCACGCCGATAGAGTCAGATCCTGCTGCCGTCAGTCCCGCGCCCGGGACGGCCGCCTCGGCGACGCTCGCCCGCAACGCCACGAACCTGCGCGACACGCTCGACGCCCTGGCCGCGACGCGCGCCGGGGCCCTGGCCGCGGGACGTCGGAACGCCGAACTCGCGCAGGAGGTGCTGCGTCTCGCCGAGGAGGCGGCGAGGCGGCGAGACGGCGGCAGCGAGCCTCAGGGGGGCGGTGGCGAAGACGACGAGGCGAGGCGGGAGATGCAGCTGCTAAGGGCCGGCCTCAAGGCGAGCAGGCAGAAGTGGAAGGTCATGAAGGGCACGGCAAGTGCGATTGTGGTCGGGAGCGGCGTCGACTGGGTTGGCGATGAGGGCCTGAGGTGGATGGTGCTCGATCCCGAGGGGGAGGACATGTGAGGACATGTGTTTGTGTCCCTGTGCACGCCGTGGCCCAATCTCTCTACATGTGTGAAGGATGGACGATGATGGTTTAACGTGTTATGAGCTACGATAAAATGAATAACAACGAACGACGAAAAGCTCCATCGGTCAGAAAATGGACAAAGTTGCAGGTGACTGTGGCGGAAACACATCCGAGGCTCTCCCATCGGAACCGACCCATCGAGGCTGACGAGGACCAGTCGTTCGTCGCGGGCTTCCAGACCCTGCATGGAGTGACGATGTATGCCACCCATGCGGGTCATCCGCTAGAATGTGGTCTCGTCACAGGCCGCTTCCCCAGGATTTCGCCCAAGACTCACAACTGTGTGTCGAACAGCAGACCAGACAGAGCACAGCGATCCTTGGCAGATGCCGGCGTGTTGGATCTTAGCGTCGCAGGACGCTTGGGCCATTGGCTGGTGCTCAAATATCACGTGATATGCCTTGGCCATTTCGGTCAAATCGCCCATCTTGAGATCAGAATATCTTTCGCTGGTCGAATTGTTCGAAAATGAAAATGTATGCAAGTGATTGCTTTGGTTGTCAGCAATGCGATGGACGTGTTCATGTCGGTCACGTGTCGTGTGTGTGTGCGTCTAGGTGAGACCAGCAGGAAGAGGGAGTAAATGGGTGCAGCAGCTGGGGCGCCCAGCAAGCAAGAGGGAGGGGAGCGCAGACTCCCCCAAAAATCAGTCGGTCCATGCCCTGCTCGCATCAGCCAGACAACCGACAGTCGGGGCGGAGCCAAAAAGGCAGGCATTGGGGGTCGGTGGACAGTTTGGGTCACGCTGCGCACTGTCTCATTGGTTGCTGCAGGCATTTGAAAGGGCGCATAGCGGGTGGCGGACGGAGGGAGAGAGGGTCGCCGGTTATGGCACAGTGCGGGATTCGCTTGGGCGACAGGGCTGCACACAAGTCGCTGGTACAACCGCATCAATCTCGACTGTGGAACAGGGAGTTGGGGCCCAGCGCTCAAGGGAGGGCCAGGAAGGCCAAGGAAGAGGAGGGGGAAAACTGGTCGAAACAACTCCTCACTGGGGCGCGGCATCAGTCCAGACACCTCCGGCCCTGTCTGCGGTCTAGGCGCGCGCACGCATCACTCCTCACTCTCTCCATCCCCGTCACCAGTCGCGACTCACAAGGTACAAGCTGTTCAGCCACCTGCCCGTGCATGACCAAGTACCACCTGTTTCGGTATTCGAGGGAGGCCGTCTTGTCTCGTTCGCCCGAGTACTTGCCCACCTACGTAGCCAGGTAGGTGGGCAAGGCGGGCAAGGAACGCTAGGTGTGTGCTGGTGTGCACTCCTGACACTCCATCAGCACCAGCCGAGCGCCAGCACCAGCGCCGGCCTCGTCGGAACACGGAGCCTGCGCACTACTCTGAGGAACTCGCGCTCGAACGGTGCTCGCTCTCAGCACCACTATGCACAGCGAGGCATGCGGTCGAGCTGGCGCCAACCAGCTTTTTCTGCCAGCGTTTTTCTTCTTCTTCACCTTACCAGTCTGCATGTGGCCTTGGATCTGGCATCACGACTATCAGACCGAGCCATTCTGGTACAAGTGGGATTGCTTACAGATCCTCTAGCAGCGTAAACGCCCCGTTCGGCTTTTCGCCGAGCATGTCTCGCCCGGGAGACGGCTAGATGGGTCAATCTATCGCTTGTGCTCCCGCATGTGTAGGATGCTGGCACCTGGCCGCAGCACGCACGCACACAGGCGCCCTCACTTGCGCACTGGCAAAGCGAAGTGGAGGGTAGAAACAGAGGGATCGAAAACCGAGCATCGTGCGGCCAAAGTCAGACTTTGATTGGGCTGGGCTGAGGGGCGCTTTGCTCATGGCCTTGGACCGCTGGTTGCAGGCGGTGGCCAGCGGAATAAATGTCGAGCGAAGCTGGTACTTTGGCTCAGGTACCGGTACATGACAATCTCCTCTGCTGGTACATGAGACCTATGCAAGGTAAAAGTACCTAAGCACACTAGACCTTTGCAGTCCACACCCGCGTTGCATTGTGTCAGTACCAGGATGTAGGTCAAGCATCAACTCGGGACAAACGGAGGAGATTGGTCCCTGCGAGCATCCGTCAATTAGAGAGGGGCAAAAAACTTCGTCGAAGGGGCGGGCAAAGGGTTCGTCTTTTTATTCATTCACTTTGTTTTTTTCTTGGACCATGCTCGTCGGGTGATAAAGTGTAGATACCAGATTCCGTAGTGCAGAGGTCCCAAGTCGCTACAGTAAACAGGTCGAGCACTGGCCGTCTCCAGATCTATGCTCAAACAAGTGACGCCAGTCCTGCGAGAGCTAAGCAAAACTGTGGAGAGCCTGGAGGGTAGGCGAGTCGCTCAAGCCATACAGACTGGGCAGTATGACGGAAGGGGGGGGCCTGGTACCAAGCTGCCGTTGTTCACCCTCTCCATGTCTAATGTCCCGAGCTCGACCAGGCTAGCGAGGAGCTGCTGTCTGGTTTGCCGAATCAAGGCTATTTTGATAGGAGATCCAGCCAAAAGAGACAGCCGCCTAGCTGAGGCATGTGTCCAGCGTCGTTATTTCGGGGAATCACGTCAAGGTCCAGGGGAGCGTGGGCTCTTGTCGTCAGGGGGCTGCTCGATGGATGTGACTCGAGTGTGATAGGACAAGCTACCAAAACGGGAGAGTTTGCGTAGGTGTGTCTAGTCCTGTCGCGGAGCACTGGGGGGAGCCAAACACTGTGTTGAGGGCTTGACGGGTATCCTGTCATCTTCCGTCTGGAGACCCAGCCTGACCACAAAACGTGCTCCAGCATATCTCATATCAAGGGGGGGCTCGGGCTTTCGTGATCTTATGGACCGCAGAGGAGATGGAGAGCTTAAGCAAACTGGACGACGCGTCGTATTGCTCCAGGTATCTCGCAAGGTCCCTGTTGCGTGTTTTGGTCGTGGCTTGAGCCGAAGCAGACGCGTCCAAGTCTTCTGGTTGGAAAGCACGAAGATCCAAGGCACGCCGGATCAGTAGACAAGAGCGGAGGGGGGTAGGAGGTA